AAATCGACTTGTCAATAATTGGTCGAAATTCGTGTCCATTTTTAAGTCGAATCGACTACAAATTTCAACCGTCGATCGACTAATATAATCGACGTCGAATCGACAAGGTATTTCTGACTGGGAAAACATAACAATTCGGGAACTTACACCCGAATTAACTATTAGAGGCCCGATTAAAGTTCGCCGATCAACCGATAAACCCGGTTGAAAAGAACCGGCCCGGAAAAAATCCTTAGGTGGATTCGAACTCGGGACCTCTAGATTCGCAGCCCTTGCACTCAGGCCGCGAGACCACTGGACCGGTCACATCCTATAACATTAGGTAGTGTTATGAAAAACGCTATGGTAAGATTTTTGAAATCATTAAAACCATAAATAATTAAAATAGACCTTCTCACCCTTTGGGACTACTGTTCGAAGTAGTTAAAAAATAAATATTTAAGTGCTATAGTGGAATTAAAATCATGGAAATCTGATGTAAAAGTTAAGGAGATCCTTAACTGAATCTGTTTTATCGACTGAATTTACGGCGTATGGCGTCAGATTGTAGTAATAATTCTTTAATATAAAAAGTTGTGCAGTTTGTATGTAGAAAACCAACTACGTCCCGTTTTCGGAACAACATAAAGAACAATATAGAGCTCTCAGAACTGTTTTCAGAAGGTTAGCGTAAATAAATAGTGTGCGTGAAATAATGAATAAATAGTGTGTGTATTCCAATATTGTTCTGAAAATATTCACGCACACTATTTATTCATACTAGACTTCTAAACGCATTTCTGAGAGCTCTATATTGTTCTTTATGTTGTTCCAAAAACAATACGCAAATGGTTTTCTACGTACAAACTGCATCACTTTTTATATTAAACGAATATTACTAGAATCTGACGCCAAAAGATGTAAACTCAGTCGGTAAGTCGACAAAGTTTGACCGTCGGTTTAGGATGCCCTTAAGAGGATGCTGAACCGCTGGCAAAAGTTCGCTCAGCTGCTACTCAACCGCTATGCTATCGGGTAGGTGGCGCCATCTCTCGGGACCAAATCAAACCAAAACAAGGATAGATGACATGAGAGACCCAAAGATAGACATATGTTTTTCTCTGACGCTTCTGCTAAAATTGTACTAATTGTATTTCCAAGTTTTCTTGTCTCACAAGGCTTCAAATTCTTTTTTGAAACACTCAAAATATTCGTCTATGTTTCTAGTTTGGGATAAAGACATTTTTATTTGGATTTATATGGCCAATTTTGCATATAAAGTAAAAATGTAGTTTCTGTGCTATCAGTCTAAAAACTTTTTTTTGTTTTTCTTAAATTTTTAGGCTTTATCCCATTCTTTACTATATTTTCTTTATTTCTGGAGAACCATTTTTTATTCCGATTCATAGTTTTCACAAAAAGTTGGAAATACGAAATGATGGTAAAACAGGACGGTTCAGCATCTTCTTAATACCAATCATTTTTGTTTTACATGTACTATGGATATAAAAAAATGTGTTGAATCTCGCGTCAAAATAAACGTTACATGTACTCCACGAAGAATAAAATTATATTTCGGACGTTATCGTGATCAACCGGAAATCTCTATTAATAGTGATATACGAAATAATTTTACTTCTTTGTCTTTAAAAATAAATTTGGTGTCATTTTTTACGAAAGATCGCTTCAACATCTTAGACATCACAATCCTTTTCCTGAATCGCGAGAATATTAGAATCAACAACCAAATAACATATTTACAAAGTGAAAAATATTGGATACATGCGAAATATAATTGCAGTTTAGAGAAAGTTGCAACGGTTTTTTCATATGTCCAGCAATCTTAAGAAACATAGTAAGTTAACCCTTAGCGGTCGGAAGGCGCCTCTCCGGCGCCACGGCTATTCGGGCCGCAGGTCGGATGGCGCGCGAGCGGCGACAACGGTGTTTATGTTACATTACGATGAACAATCAAAATATAACATTTTTATAATATAATTTATGTAGACGGTCATTTTATTGTACCTATAACGTGCCCGACACATTCGCGAAAATCGCGTCGTNCTGCCACCTCACCCGGCCGAAAATGTCGTCGACCGCAAAGAATTAATAATACATTCGTGCATGAAAAATTACTTTTCTTGAGTTAAAATATGAATTATAAATATTTTTTGTAATAACTTACTTATTTATCTCTAGCACCAACGTTTTTCATTCTATAGATATTTGATTTTGTTGCGTATTCCCGCTGAATGGATATTTCCATATTGGAAAAACCCAGCAATCAGGCCACATTTAGTATTCGCATTTATCACAACAACGATGAAATTGCTTTGTCACATATGCCTGGTAATAGAAGTGTTGAAGGAAATATATCCTGTACATACACTTTCCTTCTACACCTACAGTAATGTCTACTCACGTAGTAACAATAGCAGTCGTACCTTCTACCGTAGCAAATTCCTTTTCTTTTTTTTGGGTAAACATTATAATAATCAAAGTACAGATGAACAGTGCAATGTTATATGCAAAATCTCTTATTACAAATATCAAGCATCATGTTAAAACACTTGAAAAGATGTATCATGATCACGTGTACTTTATGCAGCACTTCCAATAAATTCTAGCCATTACGAAAGTGTAATAACTAAAAATCATGTTTTCTTCAAGTAAGATACTACTCAAGACAATAAAACGAGTTTATGAACAAATGTACTTAAACTGACACGATAGCACTAACACCAATGTTTTTCAGTGAAGCTGAAATTACATACGATGAAGAAATAGACTCACTTGCACAAAAAAAAACAGTAACATGTTTAGTAGCACGTAACGTAATACAAGAAATGTTTAGTGATTGGTTACCTTCATTAAAGCAGTCTGATTCTTGGTTTATGGGAGGTTTTTCAACATTTTATGGAGTGTATATTATCGATCAGGTAATTCATATTATTATCATAGTCGTTTACACTTGTAACTTAAAAGGTTTGTTACACACAAATATTATTTATAATAAACTTTTTTCTACTAATATATATTTACACTAATGTATTATTTCTGTGTAACACTGTTGTAATATTACTCTTTACATTTTTATTAAGATCCAAAATTAGTATCAGCACATAGGTATGTATTAGATTCTATGTATACATATGTATATGTATATATTTATGAGTATATACAGTATCGTCACTTTCTACATTTACCCCATAACTTCAAACCCCAAATTTATTTATATTAGAAAACAGCAGATCAACAGTTTAATACTTTGTTTTTCTGAATAAAGAAGCTTTTTTTTCGATTATACCTTATGAATATTTTACTTAGAAATATATTTTTTTATTATTTGTTTATCATAACAACGACAATTTTGAGTATCACTATACAATAAACTATAAATATATGTGTGAGTCTCAGATACACACAAGATGAAACGGATACGGCAAAATGTGTAAATTAGACACAGACTCAATCGCACACGACAAGACACGGACACAGAACTGAGACAATCGGACACACTTACAATTGGACACAAGTTAAGACGGACACACGACATTCTCAATCAGACACACGACGCTTGTAGTGACATATTATACTGGCGAACATTGACAAGCAAAGTAACTAAAATTAAAGCAAGATTTCATATAGGTTTCAACTTTTCACTCAAATCGAAAAAAAAGTGCAGGCCGCCTTTGACTACACGTTTAAAGCACAAACAAAAAGAACATAAAAAAAGTAATCTTGTTTTAATACTATTGTGTCCGATTGAGACTATCGTGTGTCTCTTTCATCTCGTGTTTGTTTCAACTTGTGTACGATTAAAACTGCATACGATTGCGACTGTGTTCGATTTATACATCTTGCTTTGCTTGTTTTATTTTTTAGTTTATCTGGAACACACCTGTCTGTGACACTTATATTCATATACGCAGAGAGTGTCGATATATACACAGTTTTACATTTTTACATATAGAAACATATAGGAGTAATGTGTGTAAACTATGTATGTACAAAACACAAAACCAATATAACGTCTGTGTTAAATATCACAAATTTTTGTTAGAAATGTTTAATATTTTTTTTTTGTTATATATATAGTTAGTATATGCTCATATAAAGTTTTTGTATCTTACTTTATACTAAAAAATGTGTTGTACTGGTACTACGCTGCTTTTATAATATGAAATGTTTTACTAAAAGATGTCATAGATTTTGCTTTTTTCGAAACTGTATTGGTCAATCTGTATTATTACATAAAACTGTATTGTATGTGCGTACAATAGCTGAGTTAAGTAAATAGTATAATTATGAAAGTAAAATTATGAAAGTAATTTGTATAATTATGGAAACTATTGTGTAGATTTTCGGTCAATCTTTACTGAAGTCGCTACTAGTCCAAACACGACGAGAAATTCTTGATTTTATAGAAGCATATGTTACACATGATCTTCCAGGTAAAGAAAATTCAACGTTCATATCTCTAAGCTTAATTTTTAGCGAATTGTGGCGAAAGAGTGGTAAGAGAATCACATTTATTAATATATAAATAATATATAAAAATAATAATAATAATAATAATAATAATAAATAATAATATATAAATTTACAGCCATTAATATAGATAAATTTTTAAGTATAAACTTAAACTTATTATACAATTGGAATTATTTTGTAGCACTCAGTATATTTTACATGGTCACTGACATGGACAAATATGTTCTATACAACTCCATGTTTAGAGAAGCCATAAACATACATCATAACACGTGAGTATAAAAATTATCATAATTTGTGCAAACTTTATACTTGTGTACTTCATATTATACGGTATCGTCAAACCGTGAAGAAAATATTATCTACTTTCTGGAAACTTTAGTAACTACCATCAACACTTTTGTACTTTCGTTTGTTATTAGTTCATCAAGTGATACATATAATACGCAGTCAAATTTCGATATTTTATGGAGCAAATTACTATCTGAGATGTCTACGCACAAAAATATGTTTTTCATGAGAACTTTAACAACTGTGATAACTTCTTGGACACACGTTGGTTATTCTATAGTACAAGTAAACCGACACAATAATACACGGACTCTTGAAATAGTGATTAGAGACTGTTTTCTAACTAATATGGAAAAATCTTGTGTAGGCATGTGTTGGATACCTGTGACCTACATAATAATACCACAGTCTAATATCACATCGCAATCGTACTTACAACCAGACGAAAACAGTATTATAGTTCTGAATATTGAAGAAGATGATTCTATCATTTTTATAGATATACCTGGTAATATTTTCACACACATAGATTATTTATTTTTGTCTTTTGCTTTTACATAGTACCTTTTAAATTTCCGTCATATAATGTATTATATTTACTGTTTCTTGTTTTATTGTTTTATTTCTCTTTCTTTGTCTTTCTAGTATTCTCACTGTTTTCTTTTGTCACTCTTACTAACACTTAATTGTTGTAGGATATCGCGTCAACTACGATCGTAAATCTTGGAAGAATATTGCTCTCTTCTTGAAACGTACATCTAAGATGTTGTTCTTATCTGACGTCTCATTAGCTCAAATTCTCGACAATGCCTTTTATTTTTTAGTACAAAATACAGATTATAATGAAAATTGTAATTTAAATAGTACTGATAATCTAGACATATTTTTTGATATTGCCAACAGTGTATTTTACGTGTACAATTCCTACATAGCTTGGTATCCTATATTTACTGCTTTTGAGTACTTATCAATGCTTTTCTTGTTTTCAGAAAGTGCATACATCAAGGTAAATAGTACTAAATTAATAAATAAATTAAATGCTAAAAACAGATAAAATTAAATGATAACTGAGTTTCTTAAATTATATATTCTTATAGTATAATCTACCAAACTTTGTTACATTATTTTGTACTTTAGCAATCGATACACAAAAAATTTTGTATAAAAGATTATAAATAAACAAATTGTTTGAAACATAAAAATCCAAATCAAAAAGAGACACAAGATAAAAAGATAAATTATTAATATTAGATAAAAAGTTTGTTGACAAATATGCCCGTAAATATGTTGCAAAAAATCCTGTAATACATTACACAAATAGTAAATAATATTAGGTATCTGGCTTTTTCAAAAATGTATAAGTTCAAGATAAAGAAGAAGAAACATTTACGTGTACATAAGCGTTTGATAAAAACATTGAAATATGATTCTGTATGTATTGAACAAGTTTCTTGAGTATTCGTCGCATACACCTTCTTCCAAAAATAATGTCATTAATCACTTATATTACGAAGTTTTAAAATGGTCGTGTATTCACGATAGCATAAAGTGCAAAGATATTGTTATGGCTAAATTAACGTGGCACATACAAAATCCTGCATAAAACAGGTACGTTATTGACTTAATAGCAAAATAATAATATTAAAGTCGTTACCTGATTGTAGTTATGTTGTTTTACGCTTATATACGATTATCACACAAATTTTACATTGTTATTATTAGTATTTTTGTTGTCGTTGTTGCCTTTGTTGTTGTTACGAAACAAACATTATCGCGACTAGTGATTTCTTTATTTTCTTCTCTCTTTCTTGTTTGAGTAAAGATATATATATTGTTTCTTTGCAGACTTTTGCCAAGTTGGCAGAAGTGGATATTTTGCCAGAGTTTAATGATAGAAAATTTCTTGTATGAAAACTCTTCTATATGGTATACACTAAAAACCATGTATGAAACGCAGTCAAAGGAGGAAGAAATGTTTAAATTCTTACCTTGTGTTAAACTTTGCATATTCGAATATTTTCTTATTTTTTAAATTTTTTGCAACGACTTTTTTACTATTTTGTGAACGTATTGTAGATTTAAAGAAAAGTGATAGAGTTTCTTTTTTTTTTAATATTTATGCGAGGCAGTCAAAAACTCTTGCGTTGCTGAGGTCTATACTAGAAGAAATACGTAACATAGGAAGGTAAACCATTCTTTTTGTATGTGTATAGACTTTTGCATATTTACATAATGTAGTTACGTTCTATATAGACTGCATATGAAATCCATGTGCCGCATATACGATGTTGTATTATAATATATATGTTGTATTATAATATATATATGTATTATAATATACTTGTTACGTAAACAAATAAATTTTACATATTAGTTGTCATTGTTACTTGTAATAGCGACAATAACATAGATGCAATAATAAACTGTCTTATTAACAACATATATTCAGACGAAGGCCTGTCGATGGTACGTATAAGAAGTACTATATATAGTCATTTGTTTTATCANTATATATGATTTACTCTATCTAATTTTATATATATAAAAAACTACACATTTCGGTTTTTCTACATATCATATATTTATATACGTAAGTGTAGTAGAGTTATTTTGTGTGTGTGTAGTTATATACTATATCTTAAAGTGGTTTTGATATAATAACATTAATATGTAATATTATATGTTTTTATACAATGCGCAAACACATCACATTCAATGATAACAGCACAAAATATTTTCAGGTTACCAATGAAAAGTTCTTACAAA